TCAGAAAAATAATAAGGGATTTTTGAATAAGGTATCCTAGGCGAAGGAAGAGGCCAAGAAAGCCAAATCTGAATCTAAGGTCACCGAAAGCAGCAGGCTGGGTAGGTCACGAATCTTACTTCTACTTTAGCAGAAATTGAAAATTTGAAGAAGTCTACTTATCTCAAAGTGACGTGGCTTCTCTTACCAAGTGAGTTGAAACCTCGACACCCATCAAAAAATAGCTGTTAAGGCCTTATAAAGGTCCAGTAAAGAGAATGTTGCCTTAAAGCGACAGTAGGAGTAGAGACAGTGAGGGATGAAGCCCAGTCTGCTAGTAATGATGTCGTGAAGCAATACACTGTTGATTTCCATTTAACGGAGGAGTATCAATGCTTTGCAAAATATTGGCGGAGGTATGCATACATTGAAGTTGTGAAATGGATTGAGGTGCACTCCCAAGCCTTCAATGCCTCGAGGTTGAAGTCAGAGTTTTTAGAAGAAGTAGAGCTTCAAACTCCAATAGATGATAACCACGTAATTGAATTAGAAAATGATGAAACTGGGGACGACAATGTGACTTTTAAAGCAATTGGCCCCAAAGCCATTGTCCTTTTTTTTTTTTTGCACCAATCCCCTCCACCTGCTTAGCTTAGGTTTATGTAATTTCTTTTTTATTTCTCCATTATAAATAGCTTCGGCCCCCCAATGTAATAAACTTCAATGAATGAATGAAATTTATTTTTTTTATACTTTTTGTAAATTTTCTAAATGTTTATTGAATTTTGCATATTTTGCAGTTTTTTGACATGCTTCAGCCTTTATTAAGTCTTGTTCTGTTAAAAATTTGTAGAAGTGTTAAAAGCTTGTATTTTTTTTTTGTCTTTTCTACTTTATCTTTCTTTAGCTTGGGGTTGATTTGTTCATCCATACCGAGGCTTCCCCCATGACTTTTGTCATTGGGCACATGTGTTATACACTTCAGCGAGTAAGGAGGTGATCCATTTTGGGATTCAACTTTTCGTCGAAATGTCCACGTTTCCCTACCTGGCGGATAGCTCATTAGGCAAAGGTTTCTCCCGGACCTTTGTCGCTGTGAGATACTTATTTTCTTTCAAAAAATTTAACAAGGCTAATTTTATCGAATTAAACGAACTAAGCATTTGCACTTCTACTGATAGTACCTCCTTAGGTGTTTTGTATTCCAAAGATGAGGTTGTACCTTACCACCCAAACTTTCAATCCTACAGATTCTAGGTCAAATCTCTTCTCTGATGAGGTTAGGGACCCTCTTGTTGTGACCAAGAGTACCCACTCCTAACTCTTTCAAGGATAGGAATAATCTTCGCAATATAAGGTCGTTCACACAAAAGAACTTCTTCCTGACCTTAGAATGATAGTACCAAGTCATCTTTCATTAGCAGGTAGCTAACTTCACTTGGGATTCATTCTTCATTTCGTCAAGGAAATCAAGTTCGCACCTCCTCAACTCGTCATTTCATTGAACTGTAAGTGATGAGGAGATGGTAGACCTACTTCATCGGGTTCATAGCCTCTGCTCCATAAGCCATAGATAAATGAGTTTCTACTGTAGTCATCTTATTAATAGTTCGAATAGCCTATAGGACTTGAGGTAGCTCAGTAGCCAAGCCCCTTTGGAAGTATACAATTTTCTTTTGAGGGTATACTTGATGGTTTTATTGACAGCTGCCAACTGTCTATTAGCCTAAGGATGGTGGGGGTGGAGATGTACTTTTTGATCTTAATTTCTCACATAAGTCTCTGACCTTCTTGTTATCAAACTGTCTCCCATTGTCAGATACAATTGAGTGGGGGATCCCAAACCTGCAAATAATGTTCTTCCATAAGAACCTTGAAGTGTTAGCTTCTGTAATTTTGGTCAGGGGTTCAGCTTCCACTCACTTAGTAAAATAGTTAATGGCGACGATTGTGAAGCTGACACTGACCATTCCTTTAGATCTTTTTCCATGGGTTTTTCGTGGTTGAACGTGCGATTTTCCGACAGAAGGCGCTATTGACTCCATTTTCCATAATGGTTACGTGGACAACTGATGTCGGACGTATTTGCGCCCACGCAAGTAAATTTCAACATATTTATGGACGTGGAAGATGCTTCACGTCGCGAGACAAAAATGTTCAAAATCGACAATATGATCAAAGATGATTGCAAACAAACAAACAATCATAAACAACTCCACCAAGGTAAAAAAAAAAACTTAACTCAAGCACATAAATATGGAATGAGCAAGGAGAAAGTCGAGTGTCTTTTGTATAAAGAGTTGCATTAGAAATAAATGTTGCAAGAGTTACTTATTTATAGAGTTTTGACCTAGTTGGTTACCGTTGGATAGGAACAACGTGGCCTCATCTCCCAAATCAAAACCTCACATCATTCAGTCTACTACATTTAATACATTGACAATGAGTCACACACCCTATATCCTGGCCGACGATCCTAACATTAATTATTATAAAATATTTCATCAATCATTCCAAGAGATTGCATGCAGCTCTTCTAAAAGATAGCAAGTGCTTCGACCTAAAAATAGCTTCGAATGGGGTTAGTGCTTTGGCTAAAGGGAGTTTCAGATGGAGCGAAGCCTTCGGCTAAAAGAAGCTTCAGAGCAAAGGGCATCAACTTCTTCTTTAACTTCTTTATTTTGACTAATTGGATTTTTGTCAACTTTATCTGACTCATGTCTCCACGTGGACTATGACGTGTTCTTCACTAGGAATCTCGATAGCGAGACATAACATTCATTATAAGTGTTATGATACTACCTTAAGTGGAGCCATGGATGGTGCTACGTAGGATCATCCATTCTCGACCAAATAGGAAAATAGCACAACACCACCTCTGCAATGAATCGCCAAAGATAGCCTAATGGAAGCATCATATCATCTCTCGTCCCATTTGCAGTCGCCCTAATGTATTGTCTGAAGTCACATTAAATTTGGCAACGTGTTCCATCTCCTATTGTTTTTCCAAAAGAGGCAAAGATCAACAACGAGTATTGTTGTTCCCCTCTTCTCAACACAAACTCTTAAGAGAAAAGTCAAATCATTCTGTCTTTGTTTGATCTTCATTATTTTCAAAATACATTTTTCTTTTTTTCTTTTTTTTTTAATCACACATTTTTCAATAAAATAATATTACATGCAAACAACATACATTTGAAAGGAGAGGTAGCTAAATCTATGAAAAATTATTCTTGTACCGAGGGGGTATACAACCCCCTGACCGGCCCCCTCGCAACAGGGGGGCCCACAAAACCCTGACCGGCCCCCTCGCATGTTTGCACATTTGGATGACTTTGTTATCAATAGATTTAGAGATGCACTATTTGTACCGGGGGGGTATACAACCCCC